AAATGTTTCAGCTTCAAATAAGAATATTAGAATGATTTCTGAAGGATCATGTGACACTAAAGACTAAGTAATGGAGTAATGGCTGCAGAAATTTTAGCTTTGCCATTACAGGAATAAATTGTGTTTTAAAATATATTAAAATAGAAAATGGTTATTTTACATTGTAATATTTCACAATATTATTGTTTTTGCTGTATTTTTGATCAAATAAATGCAGCCTTCGTTCAAAAACATACCGGCCCCAAAGTTTTGAACGGTAGCATAAAATGTGTAAAATGGGTTAAAATTTGGTGTTGGAATTACTGTAATACAACTGAACTCATTTGAATTATGTGTTGCCATTGTGTCATTTTGCGTATAATATGTGAGTTCAATTTGACTTGAGCAAAGCAATAAATTATTTTTGTAGTGCAGTAACAGATGAGCACTTGGGTAATACAGGTTGGACTGACATTCTCAGATACCCGTCTGTCTTGTTCCCAGTTTGAAAAATGTATCTTTAAATTTAGTGATTAACAGCATCATTACTTTTTTAGTTAGTTAAAGTTGTAGACAGCATTATTATTGTTTTAGATTTTTCATTAAAAAATATGTACAATAAAGGTGAATGGGATGCGAAATACACTAAAATCCAGTTCAGAGGCTTGATCAGAACTGCAAGAGTCACACCCTCCAACACATGCACAGTGCAAAAGTATTATAATTCATGAATGTGCACTGTCAGAATGTAGTCAGTCTTGACATGGACGTGTCATTATGAATGCACAACATATGTTAGACAGAACTCTCCATCTGCTCTATCAGGATGGTAATTGCTCTTTTCTTTTTTTACATGTGACAGCTAAATGCATTTTTCATTAGCTGAATGATATTCAAGACTAGGGCACTGTCAGGAAGGTAGCGAATGGCAGAGATGTCCTCTTTTAACAATTTCTTTTTTTTTTTTAATATGATGTGGCATTTAATGGCCAGTCATCATGACATAAACAAGTGTGTGTATGTGTGTGGGTCATAGAGGGCTTTTGCAGTGTTTTTCTACAGCTACTAGACATGTGCATGTGTACTGTACAGCAGGAAGCTGAAGTCATTAGTGGCAATAAGCAACTGGCTCATACTCCTACCGTACACATACACATGCTTTGAATCACATACACACACACACTGTCACATTCAGTCTCTCCTTCTGCTGAGAGAAAAAGCTCTTAAAAATACAGAAAACAAAAGCCGCATAGATTCTTTATCTCAATAATGGAAGGCAGCTGTTCTCTGATTGTTGGTGATAAGGGTATACTGTATGTATGTGAGGTTTTGCTTATATTGTATAGAACAAACGTCCCCAGCTTTAAGTCAGCTACATTCTGGGGATCAGCACAAAAAAAATTGGCTTATTAAAAAGGTGCAATAGGTGATTGTCTTAAGAAACATTTTTTGTAATGCTGGTTGAAAGTCTCTTCATATCCCGATAGCAATCATTAAGTTAAGTGCTCTAAATGTATTTATATATGTGGCCCTGGACCACAAAACCAGTCATAAGGGTCAATTTTGTGAAATTTAGATTAAATGAGCTGAATAAATAAGCTTTCCATTGATGTATGGTTTGTTGGGATAGGACAATATTTGACCGAGATACAACTATTTGAAAATCTGGAATCTGAGGGTGCTACAAAATCAAAATACTGAGAAAATCGCCTTTAAAGTTGTCCAAATGAAGTCCTTAGCGATGCATATTACTAATCAAAAATTACGTTTTGATATATTTACGGTAAAAAATGTACAAAATATCTTCATGGAACATGATCTTTACTTAATATCCTAATGATTTTTGGCATAAAAGAAAAATCAATAATTTTGACCCATACAATGTTTTTTCGGCTATTGCTAAAAATATACCGAAGCGACTTAAGACTGGTTTTGTGGTCCAGGGTCACAAAAACTTGTGGAAGGCGTAGGACCAAGAAATGTTCGTCCAATCAAAATGTTCAGTCCGAACTTTATGATAGGCTTTACTACATGCCTGTCAACATATGTATTTGCATACCTCTGCGCACCGGGTTCGTGCAGACAGGATACGTCATCAGCGCGTTCACGTACGTGACAGAGTGCAGACAGAGTGAGAATGGCAGACAAACATCAACAACCTGACCTTCCTTCCTTGGTATTGTAGTACTGTTACTAACTGTGCTATCAATTTTCCTCACCTGTGAATGACACATGATGTATTGTAGTAATGTTGTCTCTGGTCGTCTGGTCCGTGCGCGTTCATGCGTTCAGGGGGCGTGGCTTTGGACGGCGATTGCAGGGAGGGTGGGACGTTCGCTTTCAGTGCTATCAGGCTAAAGTTAGCATTTTCCAAGATCTCCTACAAAAGCCGCATAGATTCTTTATCTCAATAATGGAAGGCAGCTGTTCTCTGATTGTTGGTGATAAGGGTATACTGTATGTATGTGAGGTTTTGCTTATATTGTATAGAACAAACGTCCCCAGCTTTAAGTCAGCTACATTCTGGGGATCAGCACAAAAAAAATTGGCTTATTAAAAAGGTGCAATAGGTGATTGTCTTAAGAAACATTTTTTGTAATGCTGGTTGAAAGTCTCTTCATATCCCGATAGCAATCATTAAGTTAAGTGCTCTAAATGTATTTATATATGTGGCCCTGGACCACAAAACCAGTCATAAGGGTCAATTTTGTGAAATTTAGATTAAATGAGCTGAATAAATAAGCTTTCCATTGATGTATGGTTTGTTGGGATAGGACAATATTTGACCGAGATACAACTATTTGAAAATCTGGAATCTGAGGGTGCTACAAAATCAAAATACTGAGAAAATCGCCTTTAAAGTTGTCCAAATGAAGTCCTTAGCGATGCATATTACTAATCAAAAATTACGTTTTGATATATTTACGGTAAAAAATGTACAAAATATCTTCATGGAACATGATCTTTACTTAATATCCTAATGATTTTTGGCATAAAAGAAAAATCAATAATTTTGACCCATACAATGTTTTTTCGGCTATTGCTAAAAATATACCGAAGCGACTTAAGACTGGTTTTGTGGTCCAGGGTCACAAAAACTTGTGGAAGGCGTAGGACCAAGAAATGTTCGTCCAATCAAAATGTTCAGTCCGAACTTTATGATAGGCTTTACTACATGCCTGTCAACATATGTATTTGCATACCTCTGCGCACCGGGTTCGTGCAGACAGGATACGTCATCAGCGCGTTCACGTACGTGACAGAGTGCAGACAGAGTGAGAATGGCAGACAAACATCAACAACCTGACCTTCCTTCCTTGGTATTGTAGTACTGTTACTAACTGTGCTATCAATTTTCCTCACCTGTGAATGACACATGATGTATTGTAGTAATGTTGTCTCTGGTCGTCTGGTCCGTGCGCGTTCATGCGTTCAGGGGGCGTGGCTTTGGACGGCGATTGCAGGGAGGGTGGGACGTTCGCTTTCAGTGCTATCAGGCTAAAGTTAGCATCTTCCAAGATCTCCTACTGCACCTTTAACACACTAATTTCCATCTGCATTCAAACCGGAGGTTGCAAAATTAGTATTTTGCTAAATGCTTTTTAGGGCTACGAGAGGTAATTTGCTAACTTTAGACATTAATTAATTTTATTTATTAATTAAATAACTTCTTTACTGAATGTCTTTATTACTGTTTCATTCTGTTTTCTAAATACTGGTCAGAATTATTGTTTTATTCTGTTTCTTGCAACATACAGTATTTCTGTTCAAGAATACTTTGTATTCACTGTCACTTTTAGCTTATTCACTGGGTTTTGTAAAGCAATATTCTCTTTAAAACTTTATCTTTCTTGCATAGTATATATTGGTCTCTATACATAATATATATTAGGGCTGTTACAATATCAGGTTTTCACTATATGATTATCATGGTCAAAAGAATTCATAATAACGTTACTGTGTTATCTTTAAAGATTCTGAGGGAAAGAAAAACTAATATTATAATGGAGCTGTAACAACACAAGACCTTAGACCTTACCTTACACAAGACCTTAATGTAACATTTCCCATTTCAGGGCTAGCAAACTAAGTACAACTTAATCCTACGATGGTGAAATTTGCCGTATGATGGAGGGAAAAGTGGGTGAACAGGTTGCTTGGTGTTATTACACCTTTTGTGCTTGCTGCTGCTGATTGTTATTCCTGCAGACAGGGGTGTCTAACAGAATCCAAAAAAACTCCCACACTGGCGATAAGCTACACATTGCGTCGTTGTCTTCTTTTTTTTTTCCTTTTTTTTGGCAGGTGGCAACCAGTGTTTATACAGCCATCTACTATGTTAGACTGTCATCAAAAGGCGCTGGCTTATTTATGATATTATCATGCATGCAATATCGCCATGATATCAATATTACATTTTTTTAAATGGTCAATACTGGTATATTGCAACACAACCAAATACATATATTCATATATCAAACCCATGACCTTGACATTGCCAGCATCGTGCTTTACAGAATCCAAAAGTGGAAAGTCCTCACCATGATAGAAATATAAACTTGTGTGTGTGTGTTTGCGTGTAATTCTCTCTTTCTCCACAGGCTGCCGGTTTGATCTACGTGGCTATTTGGTGTGTGGTAGATGCTATGAATGTCAATGCATATGTTTCACACCACTGCTCTGCCTCCAGTTCTTCTCTTTTCACTATTCAGTCGAGTTGCTTTTTCTTTTCTTGATTTAGTTTATTGATCTCATGATTTGTTAATATTTCATATTAATAGTAGGTACTTTGTCTCAAGCATGCAAGTGGTAAACATGAAGGAATAAAGACTCGGGCACAGGATTCTGACACCAGGACAAACTGCTACACACTTCATTACACATGCTCAAGGTCACATGATGTTATCTCCATATGCTGAATTCTGGAGCGTTACGAACCAAAAGAAACGATGCATTAGTATATCATAGACCTCATTTTACCTCCTCACTCACTCTCTTTCCCTCTTTCTGTTTTTCCTCAGACGGTGACGGCTCCCAGGACCACCTGTTGCCAGTCTGCATGGATATTGCGTGTGATAGAAGTGCAATTTACCTGGCCAAGCCTGGAGAGACAGAGGTACACGAGCCCTCCATTATTACTGTGTCACACTCTTCCATCCGTTTGCATCTGCAGAGTCAGTGAGCTCTGAGCTGCTGTGAGGACAGTGACAGGACTGTTTTAAACATTGTCGCTTCTAAAACCAGTGGATAGATTTAAGAGATGGATCAGTGGTGGGGCTGGGCATTCATACAGATTTCCTGATTTAATTTGACTCACAAGCTCTCAATTTGATTCAGATTGAAGATTTTTTTTATTAAATAAATTAATACTTTTACTAAGCAAGGATGCACATGATGAAAAGTGACAGTAAAGACATTTATAGATTTCGGTTTCAAGTAAATGCTGTTCTTTAGAACTTTGTATTCTTCATAAAAGAATCCTGAAAAAAATGTATTGCAGTTTCCACAAAAATATTAAAAAGCACAACTGTCTTTAATGTTGAAATAATAAGTAAGAAAAAATAATAAGAAAAAGTGTTTCTTGAGAATCAAATCAGCATATTAGAATGATTTCTGAAGGATCATGTGACACTGAAGAATGGAGTAACGATGCTGAAAATTCTGATTTGTCATCACAGGAATAAAATATAAGATTTAAAATATACTAAAAGAAATACAAAAAAAGTCATTTATACATTTATATTTCAGACTGATTCATACCTATAACTCATCTTGAAATATTCATTAAAAAGAACCAAACTCTAAAAGTCATTCATTGCCGTAATTGAGCAACACCGGACGCTCCATATGCTACTGAGTCATTCATTTGTGAATTAGACTACACTGGTTGCATTGTATATTTTGTTTTTGTTTTTTGATTAATCAGAAAAACAGTACTTTTGTCCAGCACTACATTTTAAATGGATGTATGGATTGTCTGCCATTGATTGATGGATTGATTGTTCTTCCAATCAATGGATCCCATAAGGTGCATTCAGGAAATCGTCCTGTATTCAAAGCATATATTATCCGCTGAATATATGAAGATTCAAATGATGATAATAGATTAGAATAAAAGCCTATAATAATAGTGGCATGTAGTTATTTAGAGCTCATTGTGTGAATACCTGCTGTGGTCTGGCGCAGCTCATGCTCTTTGCTGAATGTCAGCTTCACAGTAGAAGACAGCGGTTATCTCTCTGCCCTCAAACACACACACACACACACACACACACACACAGTCCGCTTGTCACAGGCCTTGGGACCAGAGAGAAAGGGAACAACGATGGACGGAGACTAGGAGAGGGCAAGAATGTAAAGGGCGTTGAACACGTGTCCGCTTTTGTCCACCTGCCACGGGCGCTAGTCTTCATCATCAGATATACTGAAAGGAATACAAAGTTTGACTCTCTCATTATATTCCCATCTGTCCATCACTTTGCCTCTGTCCATAAATGGTCTTTCTTTTCTTCTCAGTTTTCTCCCCTTCCATTCTTTTTAGAGTTCAGAAAACAACAAGCTACACTGGTTTGAAAGTGTTTATTCAATGCTGCCAAATAATGTACGAGACTGATATAGACATAGCAGCATGCATGGTGTATTGAAAAGAGAAGATAGAAGAAAACAAACACTTGACAAAAGGTAGAGAATAACAAAAGACACACTTGTGTTATAGTCAAAGAACGCAGTCTATGATTTAATTGGCCCAGGGATTTCTCTGTTTTTAGGCATGTTTGTGTGGACGGGGGTGTGTGTGTCTGCTAATCAAATACACTCTCTCTCACACACACGTAGTCTGCTAAATAAACTCATTCTCTCTGTTTTCCTTTCCGGCTCATCTGCTTAAACACATGTAACATCACACTCATTAGAGTGATTAGGGACAGTGATTGTCATCACCCTCGCACGCACACTTTTGGCTGGCTGTATAAATGGACACTTTAAAGTCACTTCTGTTTTAATGAAAGGTGGTGTGTGTAGGTTTTTGAATTTTAAAATTAAAATATTATATTTATTTAATGACGGGATCAATATAATTAATCCAGGTTGATTTCTGGGCCAGGTTGATATTTCTGTTCGCTTGAGTGGTCCAAAGGTGGCTTTTTTTCTTAGCCAATGATGTGAGTGTGGGGCAGGACTACCTGTGAAATGGAAGAGAGATTTGACCCGTTTGGATTTTATTTTGTTGTTCCATTTGGTAATAACAGTGGCGCAGAAATTACCAATGGCAGCTTTTATAGTCACCATGAAATCAAAACTGGCAGTTCTTATTTGTTTATGGAATATTGCTGAGTGTATCATAAATGATATTTTTCTCATTAATATACATCACAATAGGTGAAGAAAAGACAATCACTATTTCTATTTCATGCTGACTTTAAATTTATATTTTGGTCCACCCCCCTTTGGTTACTGTTGCTAACTCAGACAAGCTTTACAGAATGTCTTATAGGAATGAACTGGAGATTTCAGTAATAGAGATTTCAGATTTTCAGTAAGAGATTTTCATAAAATGGTAAAAATTGAATGGATATCATATCAAGATTTTTGTCGTCTGTTACTTTAAATGCTCAAGCTCTTCATAGTCTGGTGGATTCTGATTGGCTGCCAATGTTTTATTCATTCATCCGCTGGAAAAAACAGTATTGAAAGTGATTCCAATGATATTATTCCTCTGTATTATAGTTATACAGCAGCTGTGGTATGGACTTCACTACTCTCGTAGAATTCGAATGATTATTAAAACTTTAGGGTTACAGTTATATTTATAGTTAATGTTCTTGGTGTGAATGGCCTTTAGCCTAATATTTACCTTAAAATACTGTTTGCATCATTAGAAGTTTGCCCATTTTACCTGTGAAAAGGTCTCATTAGCATGTTTTTTAAGTGTACTTCTAGCGCTATAAAGCTGTTTTTCAGTCATTTTTCTCCTCAAAATTGAAGCTATTTCAGAAACACCCAAATTGTATTTCATAACGAATCATTTTGACAATCAGAAATCTATTTCCCGATGGTTGCATTTTGTTTAAACCTATACGCTTTTAACCTTCCCAAGATTTAAATGATTGCCTGGATTTTAGACATGGATTCTGGGCTCTGAAAGAATATGAGAAAGGAAGGACTTTGGGATCACCGCAGAATTAAACTATCACTTAAGCTGCAATGCAGCAAAGCGGCATCCATAAAAAATGGTGCGAGAAAGAAAGAGAGATGGGGAGGAAATGATGGAGAGCAAAGCAATAGATTGTCTGAGGTGGTGGAAGTGAGTGTCTGTGGTACGTGTGTATTGAATTTCAACGAGTCGTGAGGAAGTGAACAGGGGTAGGAGGGAGGGATGGACGCCTTCATAGGCTGAGCTGCTCTCTCTCTCAGCCCGGGATGTCTCACACTTATTCATTTCATTTTCATGTACTCCTCAATAGCAACTTTGTTTCCAGCTTGGCAGCATCAGCTGAGTGTGGCAGGCCATGTATTTCACTTTTCTTTTTTTTTTTTCTCAGAGTATAAATAATATTTACACTCACTCTCATAGCTCACACTCCGAATTCTGCCTGCGCTGTGTGCGTTTGTGTGTGTGTCTCTGTCTGGATATTTGCTCGTCTCATTGACTATGTATCTCGTGAGTCTGAAATCACCTAAAGCGTCAGTCTCTGAGCAGTTTGTTTAACGGTATTGATCAGTGTAAATGTGGATGTGGCTTTGTATCTGACTGATTCTAAATGATCAGAAGTAAGTGTCCTGTGGGCAAAACTACAAAGGGCTACATTTCCCAGACATCCGTGTAGAGACATCTCCTGAGGAGGTTAGATTGGCCATTATCTGCTAAACCCATACAGGGCGCTGAGGCCTTCATTTAGTCTCTCTCTCAGGCAGCTGGGGAATCTGTCAGCACTCATGCCGTTCCGCTCCCCTCGTGTCACAGCACCACCTGTTCAGCTTGTATGCTGCCACTCACAAGTTGTTAGTCAACCCACACATAATTTTAATAGTTTTTAACAGTATCTAAACTGTTTAAGGGGGAATGTGTGCAGATTTGAACATGGTAAAATGTGCTAATGGGAGCTGAGAGGGCTGCGTACTTATTGGCAGCTGAAAGCGTTATCAGAAATGAGCCAAAATAGAAATTGTATCTGATAAGCAGTTCCTCCTAGAAACACAGCGATCAGAACTCAACTGAAAACTCCATTGATTTGTGCATTCTTGTCATTTGCGAAGTTTTAAACATCCCCTTTGGTTACTAGGCAGTTGGTAAAGTGTTGAGAATGTTTTCTAGGGCTTTGTGTGTTTGTGTGTTCATTTGACCTCTTAGTGTCAACTGTCTGTTAATTCTAAGAACGTTAATTTCCTGGTTAAGGAAAATAACTTTCTTACTGTACAATACTACTCAGAGAATGTAGCAAAAATCTGCATGATTAGGGACTCAGTTATGAGCAAACAATGAACGTCAGATGTGATACAAGTAAGACTTTATTTACTACATAAACACTTAAACTAGTCTAACATACACACACACACGCATACAGTTGGTATAGGAAAAAGGTTAAAGCTTAGGCAGTAAAGAGAAGAGAAATAAAAACATGAAGCTATGGTACCATTTGATATTCAGCAGATCTACCGCCTGAAGGAAACATCAGTTTCTTAGTTCAAACACACCTTTGTAAAAGGTGCAAATGATACTTAATGTATCAATTAGGTTAGGTGAGGGGGCGTTAGATATTATTTGTTAAATATAACAAAAAGTTGTGTGTCTGATTGGTCCAAATGCTACAAAAGAGTGAAAACATCATCGGTACTAATGATTTCTCACTGGAGCAGTGCTGGAACTGTTGAAATGAATATTGAATATGTAACTCTCTTGTTTTTAAGCATTACTCTGGGCAGTGTGATATACAGTAATGTCTGTTGCCAGTGTCACAATAATCGGTGACAAAGAAAACAAAAATTTGATTTATTTATTTGTATATTCAATTAAATATCACAAAACTTCACAGTTTTTATATTTTTTTATCTTTAAGCACATGGCTTAATGCTTTTAAACGGTGAAAGGTCTTTATTTTAAAAATAAAGGCAATTTAA